CAGAGATGTGAAAGACTCATTGCCAGTTATCATAAATGCTTGATCGCAGTTGTTGTCGCCAAGGGTGGCACAACCAGTTATTAGGTTTAGGAGGCAATTCCTTTTTTACATAGGGAGGCAGGTTTGGACAGCTTTTTTTCCCTTAAAAAAATCTTCATTTTAAAAACTTAATTTTGTATTTACTTGGGTTATCTTTGTGTAATATTACATGTTTTTTTGACGATTTAAATCATTTAAGTGTGACAAAATGCAAAGAAAAAAGAAAGGTAATTACTTTTGCACAGCACTGTGATTGTAAATCAAAAAAAGAGGATTTTTAAAACATTTTGCCCATTTAATAGCTTATGGGATACCAAATAAAAACTTTATATGGCCATGTAAAAGCCGTACATAGCCAAATGAAAGTCATATATGACCAATATGTCCAAATAAAAGCAGTATATGGACAATATGGCCAAATGAAAGCAATATATTACCAAATAAAAGCTATATATGAGCAATATGGCCAAATAAAAGCCATATATGGCTAAAGAAAAGCAATACATGACTAAATAAAAGTAATATTTGACTAATGTGGCCAAATAAAAGCCACATGTGGTCAGATAAAAGCCATATATGACCAATATGGCCACATAAAAGTCATAAATGGCCAATATGGCCAAAAATAATGATATATGACCTATATGGCTAAATTAAAGCAATATATGGCCAAATAAAAGCCACATATGGCCAATATGGTCAAATAAAAGCCATATATGGCCAATATGGCCAAGTAAAGGTCATATATGGCCAAATAAAAGCCATATATGCCCAAATAAAAGCCACATATGGCCAATATGGTCAAATAAAAGCCATATATGGCCAAGTAAAGGTCATATATGGCCAAATAAAAGCCATATATGGCCAAATAAAAGCCACATATGGCCAAATAAAAGCCATATATGGCCAATATGGCCAAGTAAAGGTCATATATGGCCAAATAAAAGCCATATATGGCCAATGTGGCCAAAACCAAGCCATACATGGCCAAATAAAAGCCACATATGGCCAAATAAAAAGCCATATATGGCCAATATGGCCAAGTAAAGGTCATATATGGCCAAATAAAAGCCACATATGGCCAAATTAAAGCCATATATGGCCAATATGGCCAAGTAAAGGTCATATATGGCCAAATAAAAGCCATATATGGCCAATGTGGCCAAATAAAAGCCATATATGGCCAAATAAAAGCCACATATGGCCAATATGGCCAAATAAAAGCCATATATGGCCAAATAAAAGCCATATATGGCCAATATGGCCAAGTAAAGGTCATATATGGCCAAATAAAAGCCATATATGGCCATTGTGGCCAAATAAAAGCCATATATGGCCAAATAAAAGCCACATATGGCCAAATAAAAGCCACATATGGCCAATATGGCCAAGTAAAGGTCATATATGGCCAATTCGGCCAAATAAAAGCCCTATATGGCCAATATAGCCAAATAAAAGCCATATATGGCCAATATGGCCAACTAAAGGTCATATATGGCCAAATAAAAAGCCATATATGGCCAAATAAAAGCCACATATGGCCAAATAAAAGCCACATATGGCCAAATAAAAGGTCATATATGGCCAAATAAAAGCCATATGTGGCCAAATAAAAGCCATATATGGCCAAATAAAAGCCACATATGGCCAATATGGCCAAATAAAAGCCATATATGGCCAATATGGCCAAGTAAAGGTCATATATGGCCAAATAAAAGCTATATATGGCCAATGTGGCCAAATAAAAGCCATATATGGCCAAATAAAAGCCACATATGGCCAATATGGCCAAATAAAAGCCATATATGGCCAATATGGCCAAGTAAAGGTCATATATGGCCAATTCGGCCAAATAAAAGCCATATATGACCAATATGGGCCAAATAAAGGTCATATATGGGTAAAGAAAGCCATATTGGCACTGCTAAAATTTGGTCTGGGCATTTAGGTTTCAAACACCCCAGAAGGCTTATGGGAGTAGAGTCGGTGTTAAACATGACACTTCCTAAATACATTTATACCTTCATCTGTGAAAGAAGCAGGTACACAGCCTTGATCCCTTCCTCGCCTTCTTCACGGCACTATATTTACTGTTTAATCACATACTCTTTAATTACCTTTGAACTATGCCTTCTGTTATTGGTCTTGTCAGCGGCTTGGAGAAGCTTTTTTTTCAACTTCAGTGTCCATAGCTGTGGCAAGATCGCAGGTCACTGACCTCCACTTTGCAGGATTTTAAATAAAATAAAAATCAATTTCTTATCTGATGGTATAAAATGTAAGATGCATACTATATGGTGCACGACGGTTACCCGATTGCTTGCTGAAACGCACCAGTACAATGATTAATGTTCACCATGATGCTTGCCGGCCAGACCAGTGTCAGCAGAAACAGAAGTTGACCTGCCGCAGGGGTCAAAGCTAATTTGCTAGCGGGTACGTCGGTTCTGAGTTTGTTGGCGGTACTTTTCATTATAGGCACTATTGTTTTTAAATGCATGGAAAACCTTTACCTTGTATAGATAGTGACAGGTATTCTATTTTCCTTACATGGGAGATGACACTGTTCTTATTTTTAGAAAACTCAAATTTTTAGAGTGATTGTTTTTTTTCTTTTTGATTTAGATTTTTTTAGGATTTGGTTCTTTGTCCTCAAGAGTTTCAGTTGTTCCCAGTTCCTTGGCTGTGCCTAAAAGTATATTGTAGTAAAGCAGAAGTTTAGGTATTAACTATTTAGAGTAGTTGCTTTTGTCTAGCTTGGACCAATGTAAGTATGCATGTTCCATACATAAAACAGATGTGGCGCTAATAATAATAATTAAGCATGACATCATACATATAAAAAATCATACATATAAAAAATGTAATTATATATAAGCCCACCAACATGTGCTATTAAGTGGATAAACATAAACAGTGAAAACCAACATCCCTTTCAAGCAATGCCTGCATCTGGAAGTGCACAAATAATATAAATCATCAATGCAGTAAATGGGTCGTTGGCTCGATTCCCGACCATGGCGCCTCCTACATGGAGTTTGCATGTTCTCCCTATGCTTGCGTGGGTTTCCTCCGGGTGCTCTGGTTTTCTCCCACACTCCAAAGACATGCTGGTAGGTTACTGGGCTCCTGTCTAAATTGGCCCTAATATGTGTATGTATGAATGTGAGTTAGGGACCTTAGATTGTACACCCCTTGAGGGTTAGGGACTGATGTGAATGTAAAATATATGTATGTGTAAAGTGCTGCGTAAATTGACGGCGCTATATATAAGTATCAATAAATAGAGGTGCAGCGCCAGATGTGTATAAAATTAGACAACATGGAATAAAAACATAAAACATAGAGTGTATGGTAGCAATATAATCAAATGCAAAATAGTGCAAAATTGTCAATCACACTGTGGTGAAATTAAGAGGATAAATGTCCCAAATAGCTGAAAAATTGCCCATGTGGGGATCCAGTAGATCCTAATAGAGTGCGTGGGGGCGAGGGTCCATTGTGTCACACAGTGGATATAATATAAAGAATGCACACTCACCAGAAGTGCATCAAACATGCGCATATGAGATTTTCCTGTCTCATCAGGTATTGGTCATCTACTGCCAGAACGGGGTCAGGGTCATACACCATCCAATCTCCTCTAAGATAGGTACTTCAAAAGCCTTATCGCATGTCACAGTCAAGGGTCCCTTTAAGCAGGTTCTGCAAGTGGGGACTCTCAGTGAAGAGAGCCCAATAAGGGACACCACATAGCGTAATACCGTACCTGAAATAAATAAATAAATAATAGACCAAAAAAAATAATAATATATATATATATATATATATATACACACATACACACACCTAAAAATGACACTCACACCCCCGTGTGTATAATAAGATCTACCAGGATCAAAACGTGAACCCCCAAGTCCTGTAGGGACTCAACCATATAATGTGCTCCAAAAAAACCCTGAATGGGTCAAACAAAAGTGCAGACAAGTCCAATTGGACTAAACAAATAAGTGATGACCTAGGTGGAAAATCTCCACTTACACATGCGATTAGCAAAACCCAGAAACCGCATAAACATGAACATGCGTGATAATGCAAAAAAAATTATTTATATATATAAGTGCTCACACAGCAAACAGTAAATCATCAATAATATTTGGACACAACTAGAAAAAGTGTCCAAATGTGGCAAATTGCCACCCTAAAGTGTCCAATATGGTGAAAAACCACCATAAATTAATAAAAATAATAATAAATATAATATGAATCCTCTTCGTGATGGTGGTAAAACCAGTGAATTCGAGTGATGAAAATCTAATCCAAAAAACGGTTAAATTGCCCACTCACCTCCACGTTTCGACCCTTGCGGGTGAAAACGCTTATAGAACCACTAGCATGGCTCCTCCATGTATGGAAATCCTCTGGGATCTGGTCACTCTCCCCACTCTCGTCTCACCTCAGATATAAGCTTAATGATACCGGAGCTCCTCTCCAAATGGGTAAGTAAGTAACTGGCCAATTATCTCCTAAGAAAGACATAAACGGATACTGCCATAGTGTAATACCATTTAATAGAGGTAAACATATAGTAACTCCTTCATAAATGCACTCACATTTTTGTTCAACTTGTATTCAGCATTGAAATGAAACTTCCATGTGACAGGTGTATCTGCAAAGGTGTACCAATATGGCGTCCAGCCGGAAGTGCGTCACCACGTGCTGACGCGTTGGGTCACGCTCATCACGTGACTTCATCACTTCACTATTTTCACTATGCATGTTCCATACCATTCTGTCGAAAGCTAGAAATTGGGCTTGCTACATTAGTGATTGCCGCCAGCTTCTGGGTCCAAGCCCAGGAGCCATTTAGAGAACATTTTGTATTTTCTCAATAAATGCAAAGTGTTCTCTATTTGGGCAAGGTACAGAGGTGGGGCGTTGGCAGCATATTCTCCACCTCTTCCAGAGAACACTTTGCATTCATTGAGAAAAGTCAAAGTGTTCTGTGAATGGCACCTGTGCCAAATGAGCGAAATCCTCTGTTCACTAAGCAGCAATGAACAGCCACTCAGCTGATCCCAAGGCTAGTGGCAATCACTATAATAGCGGTGCCTCCTTCACTGATTTTTAGCTTCCATAGGGATTCCACAGGCAGCTGAACCAATGTAACTATGCTAAATAGTCCATACCTAAACTTCAGCTATAATCCTAGGGCAGTGTTTCTCAACCTTTTTTTAGGCAAGGAACCCTCTAAAATTATGGACAGTCCCAAGGCACCCTTTGAAATTATGGACAGTCCCGAGCACCCTTTGAAATTATGGACAGTCCTGAGGCACCCTTTGAAATTATGGACAGTCCCGAGGCACCCTTTGAAATTATGGACAGTCCCGAGGCACCCTTTTGAAATTATGGACAGTCCCGAGCACCCTTTGAAATTATGGACAGTCCCGAGCACCCTTTGAAATTATGGACAGTCCCGAGGCACCCTTTGAAATTATGGACAGTTCCGAGGCACCCTTTTGAAATTATGGACAGTCCCGAGGCACCCTTTGAAATTATGGACAGTCCCAAGGCACCCTTTTGAAATTATGGACAGTCCCAAGGCACCCTTTGAAATTATGGACAGTCCCGAGGCACCCTTTGAAATTATGGACAGTCCCGAGGCACCCTTTTGAAATTATGGACAGTCCCGAGCACCCTTTGAAATTATGGACAGTCCCGAGCACCCTTTGAAATTATGGACAGTCCCGAGCACCCTTTGAAATTATGGACAGTCCCGAGCACCCTCTAAAATTATGGACAGTCCCGAGGCACCCTTTGAAATTATGGACAGTCCCGAGGCACCCTTTTGAAATTATGGACAGTCCCTTGCACCCTTTTGAAATTATGGACAGTCCCTTGCACCCTTTTGAAATTATGGACAGTCCCTTGCACCCTTTTGAAATTATGGACAGTCCCTTGCACCCTTTTGAAATTATGGATAGTCCCGAGGCACCCTTTGAAATTATGGACAGTCCCGAGGCACCCTTTGAAATTATGGACAGTCCTGAGGCACCCTTTGAAATTATGGACAGTCCCGAGGCACCCTTTGAAATTATGGCCTGTCTTGAGGCACCCCATTGTAAAATGTAAAAAACGATTCTAATAGTTTTATATAACGCAGCAAAATCCACACACGAAGGACACCCAACGTTAGAGGTCTTCCAAAGCAAATACTCTTTTGCACACTGGTACTGACTAGTATTCCAATGTTTTTTTCTCCCGTCACTGAGCTAATGTGACCCCAGCACTGATGGAGAGGGGCAGGGGATGGTCAAACAAGGATGCTGTGCAGGCAACCGACATCCTCAATATCAACTGATGTCATTGGTTGTCAGGACCCCAGTGGCAAGAAGGTCTTAATGGTGCACAATGAAAACCGGTGTAACTAAAAGGCAGGCTTGTTCCACCCCCTGGCTTGTATACCAGTTTTGGGCAATTTGTAGACAATTTGCCAAGGCACCCCCGAAGAAACCTCAAGGCTCCCCAGGGTGCCTGGGCACCCTGGTTGAAAAAGGCTGCCCTGGGGTAATGCAGATGTACATTTATGATGATAAGTTTAGGGACAGTCGTTCCATTTTGTGTATGTACTTTGACTATCACTGTTTGGCTGTTATGAACAATATCCATGTCCTACCATGCCTTTCTGCTGCTATTTATCAGGCCCAATAAACATCCTTTCTCTTTCCAGCCTTCCCTGGCTCAGCAGGTTCATATTTTGTGTAGTTATTTGCTCCTGGAGGCCATCTAGCCTATTATTATGGCTTTTCCTACAGCTCAACAAAGGCGTAATAAAGATCGGCTCGATGCGTTCACTCATTCGTTAAATAAGAAGTGGATCTCATTTATTAATCGATAAGTATGAGAGTGGCCAGACAATTAAAGGATTAGTAAAGCAGGTCTCTCCCGTGCATACTTAGGCAACTGCAGCACCAGCAGATTTCTTGTTTATCATATATCATGCGTGTCATTGAAACAATCTCCAATGCCTCAAAGGGGATTCCTAACTAGCAGATCTATGGTGCTGATTAACTTGTTGCAATGCTGAGAAAAGCCACCAGAGCAGATCAAGCTGCTTGGGTATTGTAGCAAACTAGCTCATCAGAGTTGGAGCGGAGTTTCTCCTTCAACCCTTTTTTTCTCTTTATTCGAGATATTTTCTATTTCTCAGCCCTCATTCCCTACCCCCTCCAGTCCTGAGAGGCAAATGTTATCTCCTGACAGATGGGGTGGATCAGCCAGGTACCAGGCAGTCTGTGGAACATGTAACTTTCTCCCCCATCGTAATCAAGATAAGATAGCTTCTCTCCGGGACTTAAAAGAGAGTTGAACATTTCTCAGGTCAACCGTATGTATCATGTCATGGATTATGAAGCTGTAGTTTAATTCAGAGTTTCCCACTGACCACTCCCAAAACGTGTAGTCAGAGCCCCCCCCCCCCTTTGATAGGGACTTTTAAGAAGAGAAAAGTGAGGTAGAGCGACACACAGATCTCCCAGCGTAACATCAATCTACCACTGGGGAGACCCTTTGCAACTTGGATCTGCAAACCCAGGCATATGGGCAAGTAACTTAACCCTGTAATTTTTCTTCCTAATTATCTCTTTGCTGTGTCTTTATATACATATATATATATTTTTGTGACATCTCTTTGTAAATATTTTATTGCACCTGTTTGACTCTTTTAGTAATAAATCTTTCTTTCTGAAAGTGTTAAACTGTTTCGAAGCGCTTACCTGCAATTCACGAATTCCTGCCTTTTGAAGAGACACTACTGTGTTTGTGTGCTCCCTGCCCAATTGACCATATTGGACAGGTGACTTTTCAATCATTATAGTGTATTTCTGACAGAGTCCATCTTCTCTGTACATTTCAAGATGGTGGTGGCAGTGTGAAGGGTTAGTGGTGTAATTAACCTGACCCAGTAACAAGCGCATTCAGGCTGCAGGTACCGATTGTAGCCCATTAGCTGGACAAACGCTGTGCAGGGTGCAGCTGGGTGGGGCCTTGTTGTGCGCGTCACACCGCGGTTTTAGATCGGCCGTTCCTTCGGTCACAAGTTTGGTGAGAAGGTCTGGGGTCTGACGCCGTGGGCGTGACGTATTAGTGTTAGTCGCGGTCGTGCGATTGTCGCATGTTGGTGGCGGCGACCGTGGATCCGTGACAGGTATATCTACGGTTAGTGCAGCTTCTGGTTGGGAACCAAATAAAAGCAATTGATATATAACTTCCCACTTTCTTCAACTCACCATTGGTTTTTAAGGCTGCCCATCACAATGATGGGAAATGGACTTGATGGGGAGAAACTGAGAGCCTACAACCATCTACTACAGGTCCTGGTTGCTATTTGCATTTCAGAGCTCCTCATTTTTGAGATTTCTAAGGATCACTGAACTGGCGTTCAGTAATACGGAGGTGCTTGCTATTCACTGTATGTGGCATTTTCTTGAGTTATTATTTAAAGCCATCTGTACAATAATATGTAGTAGGAACAACAAAAACAATAGTTGTGGACCTCATGGTAGCATGAAAACCTGTGTTCAGAAGAGAAGACATCACTTTCTTTTAAAGAGACCCTGTCAGGTCTCTAAATCAAAGCAGCAGCTTCATGCAAGAGGTAGTATACTGAACACTCCAACAATCTACCTCCCCAGCATTTGACACTTCCAGGAGTGTCATGTTAGTGTGTTCCCCGCTATACACTGAATTTCCATTCTCTGACTCATCACTACAGGGCTCAGCATTGATGTAGGGGTTGGAGGATGGGACCACAGAGCTCGGTGGTAGACACAATACATGAAGTGTTCAATACAGAACAGACTGAAGGAGGCTGCAGCACTGAACTTTTATAATGCTTAAGGGGCTTCAATAAATCTATTGACAAAGGTATAAAAATTGATTTTCAGGTTTTGAAAAAATAAAATGTAGTGGCTTTGTAACAATATTTGTTTCTTCTTTTCTATTTAGGGCATAGATTACACATGTGGATTGAAAGTTGAGCCACAGTTTTACTGCCTTCCGACTTCCCCCCATAAATTGCAAAGGCATTTCAGGGTGGTAAAAATGATACCCCCCCTTTGCATTCATTAGGTAGCACTGCCACAGAACACGACTTATGCAAGTGAATAGGACCGCGCCACAATCGCTAGTCAAACACTAGGGTTGTAGTTGTGGCACAATATTCCCATTTAAAAAAAAAAAATCTGTTTACCAGTAAACAACAAAGAAAAAAAAGGCATTCAAGAGGCAACTGTGACACCCCTGAATGCCAGTCATCTGAATCTGTACCGCTCCCCTAAAAGCGATCCAATGAAGATTGTTTTTCAGAGACCAACACAGGTTTAGGCAAGCCCTACATTTTCATCGTTGTGCTTATCTGCTTTACAGGAACACAATCCTGTTTACAATGCTCAGTAGCTCAAGTTGAAATTTAGACACACAAGTGAATGAATTGGAACATTAACTTTTCTCCGTCCAAACCTTCCAGGTTTGTCTTCTTTTCCAGTGAGTTTGCTATCATAGTTTATGGCCAGTAGAGAGGCAAAGGTGGCAATGGGACACAGATATAGATGATTTATGGCCAGTAGAGAGGCAAAGGTGGCAATGGGAGACAGATAATAGACAATTTATGGCCAGTAGAGAGGCAAAGGTGGCAATGGGAGACAGATAATAGACGATTTATGGCCAGTAGAGAGGCAAAGGTGGCAATGGGAGACAGATATAGATGATTTATGGCCAGTAGAGAGGCAAAGGTGGCAATGGGAGACAGATAATAGATGATTTATGGCCAGTAGAGAGGCAAAGGTGGTAATGGGAGACAGGTAATAGATGATTTATGGCCAATAGAGAGGCAAAGGTGGCAATAGGAGACAGATAATAGATGATTTCCTGGTTTATGGAATATGGATCATGGATAAAAGTTAGGAAGTGTATTAGGGCTACTGGTTACATGGACCTTAATGGTAAGTATCTCCGTGTTTACTTCTTCTGTGTGATAAATGTGTACCGAAAGATCAAATTTAGTAAAAGCTTCGGAGCTAGGCACTTGCAGGTGATGGAAATTTTCTCTTTACTTAAAATATATTTAAACCAAGCACTTGTGTTGATGTAATTTTTAAAAGCCACTTAAATCTGCTTTCATTATAACAACATTCGATATGCATACAGTGAATATAAAAAGTCGACGACACAACCCTGTTAGGGCTCACGGGACCTTTGGAAAACTCTTCTGAATGATGGGAACTGACTGTTGGAAAATGTGGGTTAAAAAACGTCTGTTTAGCCGCAATTGCATACCGCGTTTATGAGCGTTTTGCATTTAGAAGCGTTGTTTTAAGATAACCTCAGGAGACCTTCCCAAATGCCCACAATGCACTGAAAAACAGTAAACATTAACTAGTTCAGACATTTTGAGAGAAATAGAGAGAGCAGAAGCAGAGAGAGCAGTATGTGTTGAGATGACCTGTCTTTTCTGGTTGTATTCACTATGGATCCCATCATGAGCATAATGCGACACGTTCTACCATTTTTTTCTTCACGGAAAACCTGGAACTGACTACACTGGTGTACCGGGTCCATTTGAATACACGGAAAACACTTTGTATGCATTTCTGATGATGAAAAAAGGCTCCGGACAGC